TTCGTTTCCCGATCCTATCTCCCTTTTTCGCGCGGTTTCTTCCTCTTCGTGCGGCGGGAACGTGGGCGTGGACGTGGGCGAGGTGAATTCAGGGCCGGCGAGCGTCGGCCGATCCCGGACCGGATGTCTCGTAAATCGTGCCCGGGTGCCCGGCTCTCGGATGGTCTCGTCCCCTCGTCGTCGACAGCTACGTCCCTGCCGATCCAATTCTATGGCGGGAGATCTCCTCGGATTCCATCGTAGAGTAGAACGGAATCGGGCACAAGGGAGTGTGCAGTACACTCCGCGAGAAAATATCGCCGACTATTATTGTAGTTACAGGCGGATGCGCGCGAATTTGATTAACTCGGCCTTTCGATCGGGATCGAATTCTATGAAACCTACGAAAAAAGGATTCGGATTCGCGATCGATTGAACAATTGCAAGTTCAAAAAATTGAGCTGCAGTATTATATCCGACTTCAGATATACGAATTTCGTGTAATTTATAGATTTATTGTATGTATGAGCATGTTCGATTGCGTTTTTTCGCGTGATTTGTGTACGCAAGCTTACTTCGCAATTACTGTATATACAGAATTATGCTTGTGCCGACACGTTTGTCAGAATCGTTTACGGTTTGTTGCATCTATAGGGTATTGCAAATACATATTAGATAGTATAATATAACAGGTTGCGCGGCAGACTTGCAGGAGCAGGCGCAACTCAGTAAGTAAGGAGTGTTTAGTACTTTTAAAATTTTTAGTGTTATTGAGCCGCGTTTGTCCCTCATGCAGTCTGCCGCGCAACCTGTTATACTGCCGAGTGCACCCTGTACAATGGATACATTCAGCAGACAAAGCAGATTAATAAGCGCTCAGTGATTCTCTCACGTAGTAGATTTTTGGCCATCATACTGCCTGACATGTCTACATGCAACACCCAGTACATATGTCGGCGCACGTGAATTAATTTCGAGGATTACGGGAATGGCGATGTGCGAACCCTTCCTGCTGTTTCCTGCGTATTGATTCATCATTATATCATCGAGAACAACACTAGAGCTGTCTGTTTTTTTTCAATTATCGCTTGATTACTCGACGTTGCACTCGACTCGCGCGTTTCTTGCAACATGCGCAGAAAATCTTATCAACGGGTGATGTACATCCTGTTGATTTACAAAGTTGCACGACGAATACTAATCGGAGCGATACTTTGAGACATATTTTCAACCGAACTCTTTCTGTGACATGTTGCCACGTGGAGGATGGATGATTACGAAAGAGAATTATGCAAGAAGTAGCGCCGTACGAGCAAATAATGAGAAAAATATCGTCGTTACATGATGCCAATGTAACTCCATATCCAAGATAGGATATCGCTTTTGCTTACGTTATAGATAGCGCGATTCTTCTCTGCGCATTTCTCACGGACGCGCGTATACTCTCTCTCTTTCTATTATATTGTAATATAAAATCCTATTATTCTTTATATACAATGAAATTAAAACACACGCAGCTTGTTCAACGGAAATTTGAAACCTGAACTGCAAATTGAAATCCGATCGTAATTCAGGTCTGAATATTCAGAAATGTCAGGAATATATATACGTATATACGGGACCGATCCTCTCGCGAGATCGTTACGCCGGAATAACAAATTGATTTCTCCCACCCTGCTTCCCTCCGACCGCCCCGGCGGCCGTTCGCTCGCGAGAGGGTTAAACCCCGGTGAAATTTTTGCTTCCTGTCCGGCATTTCCCTCCTCCTCTCCGCGACCCACCGCGCTTTCGAATTCCCCGTGCCCGATCGATGAACGTTCGTGTCATACGACGACGACCATGACGACGACGACGACGACGACGACGACGACGACGACGACGACGACGACGACAACGACGACGACGACGATGACGATGACGATGACGACGACGACGACAAGGGCCCTCCTCTAATGCTTCTCCCTCTCATTAAAGCCGTCCGTCCGCTCGTCCTCGTCGGCGGAGAGTAGCATCCTAATGCTATTTACACAAGTGCTCTGCCGTGGCGAAAGGGCGTTCGGGCGCCTTTCGAGGCCGTGTGCATGTGCACACGTAGCGCAGATCGCACGATCAAGCACCGTGTAATCCCAAACGCGAGAGAGACCGGGAGACTTTCCGGCCGGGTCTCTCTTTGTCCCTTCTGAGAGACCCGCGTCTATTAATTGCCGACGAAGTCCTTTTGTTCCTCGCGTTTCATTAACGAGACACGAGGAGGAGAATTTAGTGCAAGCTACTCTTCTGCGCCGTGGCGAATCGATAACCTACGGATACCGATTTCCGTAAACGTTACAAAGGCACGAAATCGTCGTCGGTTAGTTCCGCGTTCTACTTTGTAGCCAGTCCAAACAGAATTGTTTATCGCCAACATCTCAAAATAAATATAAATTTAAAATGTTTTTATTTTCTGTCTGCCACGTCGAAAAATATGTTTTTATGTAACACGAATAAATATTTATTTCTGATGGTAATGCCGGGTGAATACATTAACGGCGAATTTTATTTGTGTCATATGACATATAGTCGTATTTGTCCTCAATGGGGAGGAAAAGTAAACAAACTTGTTATTCTATTGCATAGAATTTAGACGTCATTCGAAGGACAAATGAGAAAGTCGCGGTGTTATACTAATTAATCCAAGGCTGATTTATTGAAGCAGCTTCCAAGCGCGCCAAGCGGCCTAAACATAATAAATGAAGCGGTATCCTTCACGAAACAACGACGTTCTTCGCAGACGTCCTTCCTGGCGTGACCGGTGAAGAGAATTAGCATACCGTCACTGGATAACCTTATATCCTTTCTACCCACGTATTCTTATCGGTCCTTCGGATCTATATTCGAGCCTATATAAATCCTAAATGCGGACTTGCGCAAAGACGCTTTTTCCGTCGTCGTTTGCCATCGTCGTCATCGTCGTCGACGTCGTCGCCGTCGATTAGGCATAGACAAACGAACGTAGGACGAGAAGCGTTTGCCACGACCCAGTTTCGCGTTGTGCCAATACTAAGCCGATCGCGCATCCGAGCAGGCGGTCCTAATTAAAGACGTCTCCGATCGCCAATTAGCAGCCGAGCGTCCCGCCGCAGGATCGCGAGACTGGCGACTTCCTGATTGAAACCTCCTCCGCAAGACGAAACTGCGCGTTTCGTGCGAGCGTTGCCAAAAGTTTCAATGTACCCAGCACGCACAATTTCGGGGATTCTATTCTAAGCATTGAACAGGCGACGTAGAACACGGAACTTGGTAGACCTTCGTGAGACGGTGAGGATAAAAGAGCTGATCTTGAAGAAAACGAGTTACGAGTGGAAATTTACTGAAACTAAACTTTACGTGGAAATTTTTGTTATCGCGTTCCACTTATTTTTTTTTCAACAAGGGGCTTCTATTTTTGTTGCTAATTACGTCTAACGACGGTCATTAATCCTTCCTTCGACGCCTTCGCGGGGAAGGGTACGGTAGATCATGCTCGACCTGTCGACGTAGGAGGCGCGATACCGAAGGCGCTGTCGTACGGGGCGTTCGATCTAATTTAAATATTTAACAGTGTCGATGTACGACGTGCGACGTGCGATCGGCTCGTTATAAGCCCGAGTGTCAAGCCCCGAGTGCGGTGGAGTTTGTTAGTCATGTCGCGGTAGCGCGGCCGCTACGTCGGTATTAAAATGTAAATGAACCTGGTCGCACCAACGACGACGACACCGCACCGTCGTCGCGTCACCGTCGCGAGTCGTCGTCGATTCCACCAGGGATCGGCGAGTCAAACGGAATCGCGAAGCAGCAGTCTCTCGCTCGATGACTCGCATGCATAAAGGTATGACGAATCTCTTGTGAGGGCGAGGGTCTCTGGGGGGAGGGGGAAGATTGCGAACGGTCGATATATAAATGATATAAATTTAATCGTCCGGGATAGGGACGCATTTCACATGCGTGTGAACATGTCGCCGCATGTTAGTAGCAGACACGGAAGGGATCAACGTGTACCTCCTGCGATCGTGCCCTACCCTGACGTCGATCTTCTTTTAACCGTTGCTTCGTCGCCTCTGCTTTTGCTCATCTCTGATCGCCTTCGTGGCCACTCGATGGAATTAACAACATTGTGTTTTCGTACACCCGGCGTTCGTCGCGATCGTTATTAAAGCCGACCTATTTGCGCGCGAGTACGCGAAGCATCGATGCCACTTTGTTCATTTTTTTTTTATATTTCCTCGTTCACCTCTTTCGCTCTAAATATATCCGAGATGCCGCGCGCTCGCTAGCACGCCCTCCATGCGTTTCATCGGACGTATATCGCGCTCTGAATGAACGTTTAATTATATCAAACAGTGGTGTAATTTATATGATTAGATAACACAGCAGGAAAAAATATGTAGTAATCATCACTATCAATCGACTTCATTCCGACTAACAGACTCAAGATCGTCATTCGCCCATAATTTTCTCACAGTTAATAGAATTCGTTTGTTTATTTCGAGAGAAGTAAATACATTATTCGCTTTGAAATGCATTAATTTCAGCGTGCTGTTTACCGAAATGAATTGTGTTTTTTATAGAAATTTAACATCAATCTAATTAAAATTTAATTTTAGTTAAATAAATCGCGTGTATACTGAGCTGTTTTCAAATTATATAAAATTTCAATTTAGATAAAATATTCGAGAATTAATATTATTATTATATATTCGAGATTTATTAATTCTAAAATAATACTCAAATAAGATACATTTTCTCATAAAATAACGTATTAAGCATATTTTAATCTCAGTGACCTCACACCGGAGTCTACTAGACTTCGGTATTTCTTTATCTCTGTTATGAAATTTAAGCCTTTTTATATTTTCATTCGATGATGCTACTTGCACAATCAGTCATTTCGTTTTTTTTTTCACTCGCTTGTCAGAGTCATTACTGGCTCAGTAAAGGAAACTTGAGACCACGATGTGAGGTGTAAGGCGAAAAAAAAAACAAACGTGAGGATTAATGTTTACCTGCCAAACAACGGATGCCATAGTTGCGATTCGTCCGGCGAGCTCGCGGTAGAGCTCACTTCCGGTTCTTGCTTGAGCAGTCCATTGCGCACTCTGAGCAAGGGCGAATAGGGGTTGATGCGCGATCGGCCGCCGTTCGATAAGTCTATGGGCTGCGTCGTGGGCATCAACGTGCAGATCGGCTTGCAACTGAGTTTGGGTCTGCCAGCAGCAATGGTGAGCCCGTTGCCTCTCAGGCCGTTGCTGTTCGCTGAACCGGACGATCTTTTGTTAATGGCGCCGTTAACGGTGGTTCTAGGTTGCTGCGGCTGCGAGTGCCGCGATCTGGAAACCGGGCCTTCGCCATGGTCCAACACATGCTGTAAATGCGCCAGCGATATTACGAGCAGATCGGGATCACGAAGAAGATCGGGCCTGGTAAGAGCCTCGGGTAGCCTGAGTTCGGGCCTGCTGGCCAGTAACTTCGGTATCTCTGTTGCTGGCGCAGCAGCCAAGTCTGGCAAATAGTCGCGAGGTACTAGGAGAGGATCGGGGATCAGATGGCCGACAGTCTCGATCAGTTCGCGGAGCTGTCTGGCCGGATCCCAGAGTTTCTCCGTGCTGCTGGCGCAGGTGATTTGATCTTGATTAGCGAAATGGCCCTTCATTCTGATGACGGTCTTTCGGTAATAGGCGGCGTGATTCCTTTGCTGCTGCTCGGTCATCGGTTGCCACTCGGCAGACATCGGTCTCTTAGGCGCGGCGCGTTCTGTCGTTCCGTAATAGGCACTACGGATGACGCCGCTGGACATTGGCCTGCCGGAATTTCTCACCTCTTGATTGTGAATGTTCAGACGTTCCTGGAAGCTGCGCTGATTAGTCGTTCTCGCGTTTCTGTCGATGCTCGAATGCATGAGTCGGGAGGTAGGCTGATCGACGACGTTTTGATCGGAGCGAACTGGCACTCCCTTCGTCTTCTCGTAATCCCGTGGATCCGCGCAGCTGGATGAAGCCAGGATATTTTTGAGCGTCAATTCGCTCTTGGCATCCTCCGAGCAGGACACCGAACATGGCGGACTAGGGAGCAATCTCTCGAGATATGTCGACGATGGTCTTCTAGACGCGGGAGAAGAAGGAATTCCGCTGGGCTGCGGCGAGACCACCACGGTGCCGCGCGATCGTAGCTCCTTCAGGATCTGCTCATCGAAGTGCTCGAGGTCCTGATATTTATCCTTGGCCTGCGCCTCGCTATTTCTACCAGAGCCGAGCCAGGCAGAATCGCTCTTCGCATTTTCCAGCGGGGTTTTGCGATCCTTGGCATCCTCCTGATTGTTATTGGTACTGTGCCCGTTGTAGTAATCCGCGTCGATACCGTCGTACGCAAGTGAATCCGTCTTCTGCTGTCTAAGGTCTTCCAGAACTTGCGAGTCGCAATCGTCCTCGTCCTCCTCCTCATCTCCGTCCTCCTCGTGAGGAAACTCGTTCATCTTTATTTCCTCCGGATACACGTCAACTTTGTTGAAGCTAACGGTGCTCTCGGGCGATTCGACGCGATGCTTCGTGCTCGGTGATGTTGTTAGCTGACCGGAGATATTTTTGTAACTCGGTATAACAATCGATTGACCTGACAGATTGCGAGACGAGCCATCGCGATCGAAGCCGTTCGCGTTCTTCAATAGTTTCTCGACGCATTCCGCTTGAGAATCCGGCGATCTGCTCGACGAGGACGCCTTTGAGGGTGGTCTCGCAGGCGGCACAATCTTACCGATCTCAGGCGTATGGTTCCTCATTATGGACACCGAGAGTCCCGGCGTATTCCTTAGGGCGTCGAGGAGCTTCGAGCTGTCGTAATTGAGCTTCAACGGTTCGCCGGGTTCGTCTGGCGCTTCCTCTTCCTCGGTCGGTATGCTCGGCTGCCACGTGACGATGGAGTCCGATCCGCATTTCGGTCGATCGACGAAACCGCCGTCAGCCTCGGCGACTTTGCAGGAACTCGGAGTCGTCTCTTCAGTAACGTCGGCGTTACTCTTCAACGAAAGAAGATCATCCTCCACCCGGGTCTTCTTGCCTTCCATGTCCTGCAGATAGCAAGGCAAACCCTCCAGGACCTTCTCCTCGTGTACCTCCAGCTTATCATCGAGCTCGCCGTCTTGGTCGACAATCTCAGTCTCGTAACTGGATACGCTCCTCGTTCGATCCTTTATGTCGTCGGGCTCCACGTTCTGCTCTCTTTCAGCGGATTGTTTCTCGTCGAGGACCTCGTAAGTCTTGGTGGAATCTGTAGGCAGATCGGCACTAGGAGTATCAGTGGCGAGAACGGGCGAGGCCGTGGCGTCTATCATATTCAATATGTCCTGAATACCCGCCTTGTTCATCCGACTGGATTTCTCGCTGTTCTCTTGCTCCTCTTCCTCCTCCTCCTCCTCCTCCTCCTCCTCCTCCTCCTCCTCTTCCTCCTCCTCCTCTTCCTCCTCTATCTCGTCCATTTCTTCCTCCCTTTCCTCCTCATCCTCTTCAGTGTTATTTTCATTCCGCTCATTATTTTTCTCTATCCGTTTCGCTTCATTTGCCGTCGCGTCCTTATTTTTCGCGTGGCGAACGACATTTTGATGCGCGCTCTCGGGGAGTTGCGACAGTTGCAGCAATTCCAGCACGACGCGCGGCTGGAATAGCTTGTCCATCTGCAGTCTCTCCAGGTCGATCCAGCCATTCAAGCTATTCTTAATCTTCAAGCTGGACAGACGATCCTTTGGTTTGTTCTGCTCGTGATTCTTATCTTTTTTACTTTTATTTTCTTCTGCGCTTACGTCATCCTTAATCTTGTCTTCCAAGGGAGAGGAATATCCTCGTCGATTCGTCTCTTCATCGTAACCTCGCCTCTTTTTGCCTGTGTCTTCGCCAGTAAGCAAACCGTTCGTCGTGCCGTTCGACGAATATATTCGCGGATGGCATCGAAGGGAGCTCGCCGTCGCACTCGCCGGCTCTTGGAGGCATCGTTTGCCGTTCTCCTTCTCGTCGTTGGACGAAACCGAGGAGGCCGGCGACGTGTCGACCATGCTCGACGCCGGCGTCTTTTTGCAGGCGGCGGCCGGGGCAATCGTGTACACGTTTGACGTGGTGCGCGGTATCGAACGCCATCCTTGCGCGGTCTTGGTGAGCTTGATACGATTACGTTTGTCGTAATCCTCGCATCTCACCTCGATGATCTTCTGCTCACGCTGCGACGCCCACAAGAAGATCGGGTTGACCTTCGGTCGCTTCTCCTCGGGCTCGTCCTGCGTCTCGCCCCGCGGCGCTTCGTCTCGGACGCGCTTCTGATGCTTCTGTTGATGATGGTGGTGATGATGGTGATGATGATGGCGTCTTTGACGACGGGGCACTGTGCCCCGCGCAGGGGCCCCGCTCATTACTCCATTCAACGAACGGTGATTACTCTGTCTCTCTCGTCCGACGGGATCGTCCTTCCGGTCTCTTGACTGGCGATCGATCGACGGCGACTTTGGCGATGATGACCGGCGACCGTTATCGGATTGTTGCAACCACCGCGTAATGCGACACGCGATTTTCTTTGCGCTCACGCGCGCGCGCGCAACCTGCCTACGTGTATGTTTTAGTCTGGTAATTCACATACTTCCGTTCGCGTATCCGCACGTCACGACGGCGTACCTCTTCGATGCGATGATCACGACGCGTTCGCCCGATTACCGTTCCGCGCATCGTAGACACCCGGTAGGCGCGCGCGAAGCGATCGCGCGGCGTGTGGATCGCGCGGATTCAATCGCGCCAGACCGAAACCCCGACCGTTCACCCGACTCGCTCCCGCGCGATCGATCCTCAAGGCCACCGCGCCATTGTCGACCCGGAACGAAGCTTCCGCCGATCCGGGACCAAACGTGTCCTGACGCACGCGGATGTAGCGATCACCACGTACGCTTCGTCGTTATCGTTCCGACGCGGCTGCTAGCTCGTCGACGTCTGCGGCACCCGATTCTGGATTCGGTCGCACCGTCGACGCCGCTAACGCTGACGAGGTCGCCGGCGTCCTAGCCGGCTATCGAACTGTGATACCGCTGACGTTGCGCCGCCGAACAGGGATACGCGAGTGCGACACGGGCGCGGGCGTCGATCCTCATCAAAACTCGTCACTGCGGCGCGTCGATTCGCACGAGCTCGCTACCGCTGAGCACCAAGTTTGACCCATCGGGCAGATAACGAGTCTTTCTCGCTGTTACGGTCTAGCTGTAACTACTTGCCTTCGCAAGTGCGCGAGGTGTTCCCTTCGAGAAACGCGAGGGACCACGAGGAAAGTAAACGTACCGGGCAACGTTCGGAGGAATCGCAGAGATTGAATTGGGGTGCGAACTTGGCGAACGATCAAGCAATCCGCAATCCGTACGTTCTGTCCGCGGCGAAACACCCGCCACGTATTCACTTTATACCCTCGATCACTCACGTTTATTCACACCCGTACGAATTTGGAGCACCGCGTCTTGGAATTGTCATCGATGACATAACACACGGTGCGGGCGTTGCAGGTCGCCCGGTACACGCTACACGCGAAGTCACTGCCTGGGAGCTACTGGCGGCGGTGTCTCTTCGTTGCTTTCCTCTACGCCGCCGCGGCTGCGGCCGCCGCCACCGCTGCCGCCACCGCCGTCGTCCTCGCCGCCCCCGCTCCGCGGAATCGCGACGCAGGTGCGGCTCGAGCGAACGTGGTCTTGAAAGTAACTCGAGAATAGAACGCTATCGTACGTTCTTTAAAACAATTAGAGAATTTTCAAATACATCTAGATATCTAGTAAATATTTTCGATCTTGAACATTTTTTTAATGAGATTTTTTTAATGTAATTTTACTCAATAATTATTGTATCTTAATTTTTTTTACGGGATGGAATGTTAATTCAAAGGTTGATTTAATAAAACGAAAATAATCATGTTACTTATAATAACAGAAAAATATTTTTTAAATTCTATATAATATATACGTAATTATATAAAAGATAAATTATTTTGTAATAGGTAATGTACCTCTAATATTATAAAAATATCTTACAAAAAAGTATATTATATATTTTTTAAGCGAATAATATGTTTTGAACATTTTTGGGAAACACTTTTTTTTTAAATAAATATTAAATAAATAGGTTTTTATTGATGCCGGTTTGCATTGGAAATTTATGATTTCAAATATTTCTGTCCGGTAATATTAAAGTTAAACATTACAATTTTGTTACATATTAAACGTGATGCAGAGGAAAATTATAATGAAAAATTTGTTCTCAACACTCCAAACGTTGGAACATGGTAAGATTACAAATAGTGACAGCACTGGTACGCTCTTATCCCTCGCCCCGAGGCTCGCGAGTGGAGTACCGACCGCGAAGAGAAGAAGAGAGACGGACAGACACAGAGTGGTGGGATAGATAAGGTTCCAGCGAGAGATAGATCGAGAGAGAGAGAGAGAGAGAGAAAGCAAGGGAAAAAGAGGGAGAGCGCTTCTGCACTGTACATGCACGCGTATACAGAGTGTACCGAAGGTAACAACATCGGGCACAATAGAGCCGATTGATTGCTGAAGGTCGGTCGTTGGAAAAAGTTAAGCTTTACGATCGTCTAATCGCCCCGACGACATCGTGTCGCACTCCACGAATCAAAATCCGTCAGCTCTCCCCTGCCGCTCCCCGTTACCCCCTCGCTCCGAACCCTCGCAAACGCATAATGCGTATGCACACGCCTATACAGTGTGGATCGAAGATATCTAGAATGGTTGCGGGGGGCAACGAGGTCGTGGTGAAAGCTATGCTCGCGTTAGAACTTGAAATTTCGTAAAATAAATTTAAATCGATAGATAACACATTTGGTGTCTACTTTGCTATCTTACTCTTTTTCTTTAAATAAATCCGTTTTGATTTATTACGCCCGAGAAACTTATATTTTTAGTCGATAATTAATGATGTTTACATACCGATACGATAACACGACGCGATATATGCAACTTAACTTCCGAACGTAATACATTATATATTGAACGAAGAGGCGATTAAGCGGCATAACTTTATCATCCTCTTTATTTATCTTCTTAAAGTGGCTATACTTTTATTGTATATCCGCGTAATAGTATCATGACTGCATATCGAAATTTTGATACAATGATACGTAAAAATATCAAGCGTGTTGCACTGTTGCATATCAAAATGTTATACAATGATACGCAATGGGCTTGATCGGCTATATCTATCGGTCTTTTGCCGTCATCAAAGCAGTGATACGCGAAATAATCGAGCGAACGTAATCTGAACAGCAGGGACCCGGAAATAAAATTTCGGTCCGGTTCCGATTATGGTCCGATGCTATATCCAATTACGGTCACTGTTATCGGTAAAAGAACTGAAACCGAAACTGAAAATTGAGTGTAGCCTCGGACCGTAACAGTAACCAGACTGAAATTTTTTTTCGGTCCGGGCCCCTGATTCTAAGAGCAGTAATTCGACACTTATTTATCTGACTGGTACTGCAGAACAATAATCGCTAATTTATAGGTGTCGTGTATCTTTTTCCGAATCGAAAAGTGAACCGAAAAACGGACCGAAAACTGAAAAAAGCTTTTATCGGTCCGTTCCATTAACCTGCAATGTTTCAGTCCGGTCTTCGGTTTCGGTTCGACTAAAATAACGGTTTCCATCTGGTTTCGGTTTCGATTTGCATCCGGATTCCTGCTGAACATGGACCTCCAGCACGTTCTTTTATTCTTCTATTTCTTCTAAATTTTGTCAAAAAATAAAAAGTCTATTATAGAATCGAAATTTCTGACAAAAATCAAGTGAAAGGTTGGATAAGTTAATTTATTTTTTTAACTAAATTGAGTGAAAATTAATGGGTTGCAATATTAATTTAATTACGTTAAATAATAAAAAAACATGTCAGCAAGGTGTCCGTGCGTAAAACAATTTATATAAACATAAAATATAATAATACAATGTATATGTTGTTAAGGCGAATAAAATATTCGAGGATTCCAGGTGCAAAAATGTATTATAAGCCACAATTTAGATTTATATAATTAAGCGAGTGTGCACACGTGTTCACGATCTAGCGAACAAAAAAGAGAGAGCACTACCGTAAGTCGCGATTAATCGATTACCATTGATCACTTATCACGTAGATAGGGAAACAATGCTCCTAATAAAGATTCGAGTATAATAAGAACGTGGATTGGATAAGTGAAATAAAATGTAACTCAACATATGTTACATATGAGTGAACGTTTTGACTTTTTGTTTAAGTCATCTCAACGCAAATTAATAACCAAAAAATAATTATGAAAGATGGAAGATTTATACCGCAAAGCTCAGAAATGTGTACTCGAACATTAGAGTTCTAATCCAGAAGGCCACCAAAGAGAAGAGAGTTGATCCATAATGTAGACATTTGTTTTATAACGACGCAAATTCGCAGACGAAAAATAGAAAAGAATAAAAATGCGTAAAATGAAATAAAGATACCTGTGCGGCGACAAAAGAGAGCGGCATGGGAAATTAAACAAAGAAATCAAATTACTTAAATCGTCACGAAAAGCGATAAATATTAAAATGTGTGTCATCTGAGAATAAGGTAATTTTCGGGAAAAAGATCATCTAGAGGATACACATAAAAAATCAGAGACATGGGATCAATAGGCAAAGTGATATGGATCTTTTCCCCGAAAATTATCTTATTCTCAGATGACACATATTTTAATATTTGACGCTTTTCGTGACGATTTAAGTAATTTGATTTCTTTATTTAATTTTTCATGCCGCTCTCTTTTGTCGCCGCACAGGTATCTTTACAATATGAATAATTAAATTTTAATATTTGATTTGCTTTTTTTTAATAAGCATAGATTTTTTATTTTATTAACAATAAGATTGCGTTCGGCACTTCGGGAAGCATGCTATTGTTGCTGTTACCGCTATTGTGTCATTCTATCCATAGCACTAATAGTGCTCCTCGCAGAGTTTAATGTATTCCATTTTACGCATAATGCGCATGTTGCATCATTTATCCTTGTATTCACCAAATGTTAATCAAAGATAAATTATTCATTACACAGCATACGAAAAACGAAATATACCCTAAATGTCCGTATCATGTTCCGCGCACTATTGGACACTGTACACTGCAAGCGTAGCGCCCGTTACGATTATTGAACTTTTTTTAAATTATATTTTTCTAATGTTTAAAATTTTATAAAAAGAAATGTTGGCATTTATATTCATTTTTACAAACGTAGATTAACTTTAATCTCGGTTTGACTTGTTAGTTTTTATTATCTTCTAGTTTTAAGAATTAGAAAAAGATAGAAAGTAAATTAAACTGAGATTAAAGTTAATCTACAATAAAATGCGCCTTAGAGAAATAAAAAATTTTTTTAACACAGAAAAAATATTAATAAATTAAAGTTTATATGTTTTAAAATAAACTAGTTGAAGTTTAACTATAAACAATAAGTTTAACTAACTGTAAGTTAAAAGTTTTTGACTTTTTTATTTAATTAGTTAACTAGTTGTTACCTAACTCTGAGTGAAAGTAATGGACTCGCTTATTATTTCCAGTTCTAATACTTTGAGAACACGTATCTGAAAAATTTTTGCCAAACGAAGAACTGGCCGTAGTTCATTCCTGATAAATGGTAGTCAAAATTATAATTAATAATACGAAAAAAAGGTACGTCGCGAAGGCGATAATATATCGGTGCATGGGAAAAGGCACGATCAGAGTTGAATTTGGAGTTGATTTCTGTCTCTCCGTCCTGTGTCCACAAATTTTGCACACATGTCGCCAACTACCGCACACTCCAAATCAGAGTAACCGGTGCAATTTTCGTGCGCGAAGGAATCTCGTAAAAGGGCGTGCGAAGGGGACAGACTTCTCGGTGCGAGCAACGAGGGTATAGTTTTTGATAGACAAATACTTTCACGCTAAGTGCCTCCAGTGAGGGGGACTCCGAATCGTGTTCACCCCAACACTGCGATACGAGCGATCGAGCGGGCAAACGAGGACGAGAAGAGAGAAAGAGAGAGAGAAAGAGGGGGGGGGGTGAAGTCGGGTTCTCTTCGAGAAGGGGAAAGGGCCACGATATGGGGCCGAAGGGGGGAATATTTTTATTAAAAAGGGCTAGTGGGGCGGGAAGGGAGAGGATTGGGGGAAAGATCATGGCGGTCCCCGACGAGGCCGCATTAAGCCATATTTCCGTACCTGCGATCGACGCACGCGAACTGAGAATTAATTGCATTAGCCTGTATAAGGGGATTGTGAGAGATGCAATCTCGTGTGACAATTGAGACGAAAAAAATTTATTAAAGATGCTTGAATTATATTTATTTAATCGCTGAACTGCTTTTATCGAAAAAAGAATTGCTAAATTTTTCGAGGAAGATAGTTTATTTTTGTTCTTATCGTAAAAAGCGGCGATAAATTTCATCAATTAATGATCTATTTTTTTCGTGCGTAAGAGTTACTCCACGTTACTCCACTTTCTGAATGACTTTTGCTGTCGAAATCAAACTGCGTATTTTTACCATTTCTGCTGTATCGTAATCGGAGGTTATTTTGAATCCCGGG